CGTAGTTTCATTTAATATTTCTATGTCAATTTGTTGCTGCTGGTTCATAATTTGAGTGGATGATTCTAAATTACTTTCCATTTGATCCGAATAAGTTGTTATGGATAAATTAGAGTTATTTTCATTTGAATTTAAATATATATCTGTCGCTAGAATAGTCGTAGATACTAAAGTCCAGTCGATCTGATAATTGATGGCGGCGTCATCATTTGTTCTAGATTTTTTTTTGACTTATTCTTATTATTTATGCTTTCTGCCATCACTTGCTGTTGTGGATTCTCTTCGGATTCAGTTGGTTGCTTTCTCTTATTTTTTGCTAAACTATTATCCTCGAAAAACTCGATTTCTTTTGCTTTGTTCGATTTTTTCGAATCATTGTTGTTACTTGTTGAAAACACATCTTTTTTTTCGATTTTTTTTGAACAATGATTTTTTTTAATTTCGGACATTTTTTGTACATATACGATATACCGGTACTAAGTCTGTGACGCTTGTTTTATATCGATATCATTTTTAGTTACGTAGATCATTGTCATGTACATTACATGTACGTACGTACGTACGTATGATGAATGTATCGTATGTTGAATACTTTCAAAGAATTAAAATCGTTAAAATAAAAAGTCGACTATGCAAAACTGACAAATATCAAAGTATCTTTTAATAAAAATGAAACAAAGTCAAATCAGAAATATGTAAAGAGCAAAAATTTGCATCATGTAATTGATGACATTTTAATAACAAACATGCTGCGATTTTGAAATATCGCAACCCGAAAGAACACATTAAGCTTTTCCGATGAATTATTATCTAAAGGTAGTCGCTACCTACAGCACTAAGGCTATGGCGTACTACCTTGGGTCACATTTGACGTAGTGACGTAAGTGGCATGGTGACGCGACGTAGTATGGAATCGATGAAAGGGTATACTGTACATAAATTTCGTACTATACGATCCACTACCCTAGATACGTCAACTGCCAAGTGCCGTAATGCTGTGACCTTTGCCGTTGGGGTAGCTAAGTCACCTCTAGTCACACGTTTAATCATCTATTGTTTGACGAAATTTTCATGATAGATTTTGAGTACATGTAGTTGTTTCACCCACCATGTCCATTTTCTTAATTTTAATATCGCACAATAATGTAATCGATTTAATTTTCACGCTTTTGCTTATTCTTTGTTTTCCGAGTCGAAAAATGCGTAATTTGTGATCCAAATTCAAGTTTTTGCTATTTCATAGTAATATGACTTTAATAAACAGAGACTTTAACGCTAAAAATAATTTCTAAAATTAGGATTGCAACTAATTTTTGCAACTAATTTTTGAAATACATTGTTAATATATATCGGTGTTAGTTGATTTTGATCATGAACAAGTATATTATGATGTCGGGTAATTATAATACTACATGTATTTCTACACATAAGAAAACTATAAATACAAAAAGATACATAAATTCATCCGGCACGAGGTCTCTAAAACTCGAGATTAATATCCCCTTTATATGTGACGACAGTTAGATTTGCATTCAAATTGCCGGGAACGGTTCCAGACACTTGTGTGTCAGTCTGTGTATTGATATTTTGAGTGTTTAGTGGCTGAATGTGACCTTTGTCCGTTGTTGCAGAAAAATTTCCGGAAAAAGTGGAATCCTAGTATTTCATCGTATACAAATGATCAGTAAGAAAAAAAACGAAAAAATCTAATAATTAAAGTTTACTCACGAATTTTAAATATACATTTCCGCTTTCCGTCTCCACTTCAATTTTCGGTTGTTGTTGGGTTTTCACGTACTGTGCAAAAGAGTTCAAACGTGATGTCAAGTCAACGGATAATTGTATAACACCTTTAAATGAGGCTGCTTTTAATTGCGAGTATATTCCACCGATAGTACCGGAAATTTCACCGATATTAGATGATAACATTATTGAATTGGCTGTGAAATTCTGGATTCAGATATTTGTCAATTTAATATATAATGCATATATACGCGTAAATACAAATGAATTTGAATGTACCTCTACTATTATATTAGATTTAATCGTAGTGACGTTAAAAATCTGATCATAAAATGGGACTTCATTCTGCTGTAACGTTACATCCATATTATTTGACGTTATTGATCTGAGAGTTGCTACCGTTACTGTTTGATCCTTATTGCCGTTGCTATTGGACGATTGTGAAGTTTGTGGAAAAATAATGTGTACTCTGGCATCTGAACATTTTGGAGGGAGTGTCAAATATGCGAGAAATTCGAACGGTGAGCCAAATCCAGATTGTGTCTTTTATACATACGTATATGGAATGTTACTTTGGTAGCGGAAAATTAAATTACTCTCAAGGAAAAGAATCGTCACTTACCAAAGTGATGGAATATTGTGAATTAGAAGAAAGTGTTTGTACAGTTGCGCCTTGTTTCCCAATACCGGCCACTTGAATTCGAACTGTTGCATTTTTTGAGTTTGTTGAATTACTTTGAGATACGAATACTTGTCCTTTCTATTTTCATATTTGAAACTCGATTAAATAAAAATCATATGCTAGAACGAAACAGAGATAAATTTTTGACTCTCACCAGATAGTTCCCGAACGATTCAATTTTCACTTCACTAAAAATATTTGGATCGTATGTCATTACGGACGGAGAAATATTGTCGACGTTTAATTTTCTACATTGATTTATGTTCGCGTATGCTATGCTCTATAAGGAAGAAATTAAGTATATTAATTTAAAAGAAATCTCAACGTCCAAACAGTAATAAAAAATGTTTTAATTACCCCTAGTATAATTGCCAGAATCAAGATTACAGTCCAAATTGCACAACATGATATCCAAACACATGGAGGGCATGATATACAAAAGATACGAAAGCTACGTTTTTCGATCGGTCTAACTTTTTGAATAGAATTGAATTAAGAAAATAACATTAATAAAAGTTCCCTAAATTAATTCAAAATCATTTCGCTTACTTCTTCGTGGCGGTAAAAGTTCTCCATCACGATTCTCTCGATCCATTCGTGAATCAACAATTGTTGAAGTAGGTGTAAGTGGCTGTGGTCTTTGTAATCGTCCTTGTTTTTCGTTTTCCTTTTGTTCTTGTTCATGTTGTAATCGTCGCATCTCCTGTTGTAATAAGAGCTCTTGATTAAATTGTTGCTCGCGTGCGATTTGTTCTTGTAATTGTTGCGGAGTAATTTGTGGATTAAATTGTGGATAGTAAACATAATCTTGCGATTCTCTATTCGTATTGTAATTCGTATTGTAATTATTATTAAAATAAAAAGACATTGTTGTTTATTTTTTTACTTTTTTACACTTGTTGTTTACTCAGAGGAATTAACGTTAATTTAAATCAAACTCGATTCTATATTAGTTAAGAATGTTTTCATTATGCACGCTGCTGTTTGAAATTTTTTTTTAAAGACTCCTTTTCATTACATGTACAATCGTTGTAATATGTTTTACAACTAAATTAGAAATTTCCATTTCATTTATTTATTTATATTTTGATATCGATATTGTATTATCGTTCTGCAAGTTCATACAATGACTTAATGTAACAGTCATGTTCTATTATTAGCGTTTAGCCATTATAGTACATGTACATGTATTATTGTTATTTATTATTAACATTGACTTTGTTGCTATGTTCGAGATTCCGATACATATACATAGATTAAATAAATAAATAATGATAACGATAACGATAAAAATAGCGATAGGATCAATTATTTGTGTTGCAATTCTTGTGTGGATTTCTAAATTTAATGTTAAGTGTAAGAATGTACAAAAATTACGTACGTATTGTTTGACTTTGATGAAGCTATGCTAGATTTCATAACGATAGTTATTTTTATATAGATATTAATATAAATTTGCAATAGTAGAAAAATGAATTTAGCGAAGTACATGTAATAATAAAGAAATTGTTTGCTGAATTTGAATAAAAATTACAAATACAGTCAACTCTGTTTATAACGACCTGACGGTTCTAATAACAATAAAAGTTCGTTATACGTATCAATTTTATGTAACGAACTTGAATTCAAAAATTTTCAGTTTGTTTGTTATACCCCCGTGTTCATTATCGTTATCGTTATATCTAGAATTGACTGTTCTATGCTAAAAAGGTTGAACAACGTTTTTTTGCTAACGCTACCGATTCGTGGTGTAACAAAAATCGATGCATTTAGCTATATAAGGGAATCTCGCTATATAAGGGAATACGTATACCAATTTACAGAAAAAAAGTTAATTTCTTAAGGTGTTTTCCGATTAAAGCAATTATTAGCGTTTTAAGAAAAATTAGAAAAGTAATAAAATTTTTAAAATCTTTTACAGTTAAAATTGGACATTAAAAAAATGTTGTGGATATATATCTCTATATTCTAAAAAAAAACATGTATAATATTATACATTAAAAAAAATTCCGGTTACTTTTGTCACCCATTGTGTTTTATTATTGGCGAACCGATCACGATAACGGATAAACCAACAGGCGAAATAATAAACGGGATTGTCTTAATGGTTACTAGGCCTGACTAGTGTTTCGGGCGAAACTAGTTTTGCATAATTTGATCTATAAAATGTTTCCAAATTAGGGAATGCGTTAAAGCTTTGTAGGTCTGGTGATCTGTCCCAGACACAAACCAATAAGAATACGTAAATTTTTGATCAACTTGGAAAAACAAATCCGAAGCACGAACGAAAAAATGAAACGTATGCTTGGAGCACTAAGGGAGACAATTTACATATAATCTTCTAACCCTAACGCTAAAATCAACCTTTAATTGTGGTAAACACATATCACGTGACCTACAACGCTTTAACGCGCCCCAATTTAGGGTTTCGGATAGTTTCGGACTTATAGAACGAAACTGGAGTTCACTGGGCGAAACGTTTCTGAAAAATAGTTTTCCCGAAACACTAGACCTACCTTAATACCTCGGTGACTTATGACCTAGGTACTTTTGTCCAATAAGTTGACATTATTATAAAATATGACTCATTGAAAAAACTCACATAAATCCCATCAAATGATCTGATCTCGTGACCAGTAACTATGATAGTGACTAGGCCATAATCTAGTAAATTCATTTTTTTTTGATAATTATTATAATTTTATTAAAAAAATATTGCATCAAACGTTCCGTGGTATGCAATCGTCTTCTCTCCTAAAACTACCTCCTCATCTTCACTTTCGCCGTCTTGTTCATCATCACGAACAAACAACCCATCTACAACCCAGTTGATCAAATTCACCACCTTTTCGTTCCACCTCGTACTGCTTATTTTAATTCTTTGTTTAGGTGGAGCTTCTATTTATTTAATCAATAAAAAATTAATTTATGCAAAAATAATACAAATTGGTAGCAATAATTTGAGTTGCTCGTTTATTACCTTCATCCACGCCTTCTTCATTACGTGCATCCACGGAACGTTTCTTCCCAACTTTGGGCATACTTACGGCTGGGGTTTTTGTTGAACTCGATGCAATAATTAATTTTTGAGTAGCAGCTTTTGAAGTTGTAAATTTACCGTTTAAGAAAACTCTGTACTCTGCAATTGCTTCGTTGATCAAACTCTTATTTTCATCTAAATTCCAAAATACATTATTTTCTGTACTTTTAACGAATATCGATTCTTTCTTGCATTTTTGGTAAAGATTTAATTCGCGATTGATAGTATTCTTTGGTGTTTTGCCTCTGTGTTTTATAGAATTGAGATTATTATAATATAATAATTATAATAGAGCAATCATTATTTAATAATTACAAAATTTGAACAAATGCAAAGGCAATCGCTTAACGTGTAAACGATCAAGTGACATACCCCAAGGTAGCTAAATTAAACGCGCGGATATATTCAGCAATCTCTAAATCTTGAGTCGGCGCATTCTCTCTTAAAATAAGAGCTTTTACGATTCCGGGGAATAGTTGCTTACTTGTCCTACCGATATTTTGATACGTTGACTCAATATTTTTGTTCTTGTAAATTTCATGGACTTTGGCGATATTTCCCGATGGGATTTTATTCTTTATTCGTTTCAGGCTGTTCATTTTTTTTAAATATAGCGAAAATAATAGCCAAATGTTCACGTATTTCTTTGGGTAGCAGAAATTTTCTGTTATGTGTAAAATGGATAGTTTTTTGTTGGTTCGTAAGAACTTGCTTGTGTATGTACTCTGCAGCTAGCGTTAGGAGAAGGTTGCAAGAAACTACAACGTGACTATGCAATATATAGGGATTAATAAATTGTGCTTTTTTCTGATCGCAACACATGATCCAATAGTATCGATTAAATCTATCATTATACAAATTGACTGTCATTTTTTGTTCAGTCTTTGATTTACCGTTACTCTTCATTGTTACAATCACATGAAACTTTATTAATAACAAGAACGAATGGTTATGTATTTAAAGATTTGAGAAAAAAGTCTAGATCTATGTGCACGTTTATCTTTTGTTAGTACATGTAATAGTAAAGAAAACCCAATTGGTCATTTGTTTTTTATCATCACGAGATAGATGATACTAATACCTAAGCAACAGTATCAATGTTCTATAAATATTGTCACCTAAAGTTCCAAAGGTGAATTCGTAAATTATCCCATAGAAATTCCATCAAAGAACAAATGACCAACTCGCCACAGAGCCTTGTTTGTAATATCGAACTGTGTTAGTATCATAATCAACTTTAATCCTGCATGAAAAACTTATGGGCGCCTTGATATTGAAAAAATTCATTATCAACCGCGGATAATCACTTCGATGAATTCGTGTATTTAATATTCACAATTAATAGAGGTTCAACCCAATTAGAATAAGTGTTCTACTAAAGTCAGGGTTAGAGGTTTGGGCTGGAGGATAGGTTAATGTAAGCTGCAGGTAAACACGTGAAGCATTACCTGAGGCAAGCTGTGTTCCGAAGCATGTCACTTATAACTTTGTGTTTCCAATTTTTTTTGCTGTGCTTGTCTTAGACAGGAGAAGGGAACTCTTGAAGATCGTATAATGTCTTTGATTGCAGATCACCAAACGCATAGTCTATCTTTAAGAAAGTGGTTAATGTACAAGAGAAAATTGTAAAATTAAAGGATTGAATGATGACTCGGTACTTACAGTCATAATATGGTACATTTTCATTGTATCTCCATAGTTTGGTGAATCTTTACCGAATGCCATCATGTGATAATAGGGAAAATGTGCTTATATAGAGACGACTGTAATCAATATCAGTCATCTAGGCAAAAAAGTTCGCAGATTAAATAAGGTGATGTCTTTATGTCAGTACATTGGATTCGGGTTTAATGTTCGTTGCGAAAATTAATGTTCTCCCTAATTTTGACATGTCTTTCAATACGCCGGGTGAAGCTTGCAAGATTAACCGATGTAGTCGAAAACTACGATCCTTTTGTTGTTGAATACAATGAAATTGTAATAGACGATATTTAGACTCTTGCATGGCTCTTTACTCGACCGAATAGATAGTACTACTGAATCACATAAATCTCTTTCGAAGCTTAGCCCTGTAAAAAAAAATAAAAAACAAAAATCAGGAAAAAATCCGGTTTTTTAGTTACGGAAAATCACAGGTTTTGTTAACAAATTTCCGGATTAAAATCTGATAAAAAACTGCTTAAAAATGAAAAAAACGGG